CCCCCCCCCCCCCCCCCCCCCCCCCTTTTTTTTTGATTGTATAGGACTTGCTTCGTTCCTTTGGCTGCATTCACGGTTCCCTGCCCACCAAGCGCCGCAAACCTAAGAAGCCGAAGCGCGCAGAGCCAACCACCGCTGAAACTCACCAGCCCGCGGCCACACAGGCCAGCAAGGCTGAGCCCGCAACGTCTTCAACGCCCACCCCCAACAGTGATGCGACGCCAGCCCCTTCTGCACCTCGTCCATCTATGCCAGCAAGCAAGACAGCACAGGTTCAGCAGCCGCAGGATCGTTCCGTGGCGTCTGTACCAGGTCCGGCTGAAGCGACCTCGCCAGCGGCAGCATCCACCGCCAGTTCTTCCAAGGCTGCGGAGCGCATGCGCAAGGAAAAGTCGTGAGTGGCTAGCCCAAACCCAAATTGTTTCCCTTGATCCACCCCTGACCCGTTGCCACCGCGGTTGCCTCACGATTCCTCCACCTGTAGCAGAAGCAAGAAACACCGGGAAGGAACTGCGCCGACAGGCGCTTTCCCCAGCGCACCCAGCACGTCACAGCCTGGCAAAGCAAGCAGCCTCGGCAAAAAGCCGAGCCAGAAGGCGCCTCGTAGCCTGAAATCCGCAACGAAGCCCGCAAATGACTCAACAGGTCTTGCCACATCGAGCAGCCAGACCATGGTGCCGCCATCGGCTGCTCACAAGAGCAAAGCCACCGTGCAAGCCGCCGCCACACCGGCACCGATCCCCGTCATCGTCTCGTTCAAGAGTCTTAAGAAGCAAGCCATTCTTGCTCAACGTCGACGTGCAGCTGCTCAAGCAAACTCCACGTCAAGCTTGGACAGAGCCCAAACCAAGCAGAGCCCTCCATCCGTGACTTCACCCGTCGCGGTGCCCAAGGCCGTGTCAGCTCCTGACGAGGCCACGCGCTCCCTAGCACAGCCCACACCAAAACAGCAGCTTATGCCCAAGCCGGCGGCTTCTAGTCCCGCGGCTGCCAAGCAGCTGCCGACGCAAAAGCAACAGCTGAAACAACTGCAGAAGCAGTTACAGCAGCTTCGATCCAAGCCATCATCTACGACGCCGACAGTGTCAATAGCCAACAGAGCTGAGCCGGCCGAACCAATGCTGCCACGGCCTGCTGAATTGAAGCACGGCCAGGAGCGTCAATCGGAGATTGGCGTGCTGGCGCTACAGACGCAGACGCAGGCGCAAGCAAAGCCTGCCCGCGAAAGTGGTGAAAATGAGGCGCCAGTGCCGAAACGGCCGCATCGACTGTCAATAACAGAAAGCAGCCAGCCCATGGCTACGAGCGAGCCGTCCACCCCCACGACAACGACGACGCCCGAGCCACTGCCCGGATCGGCCACCAGCGCTGTGGGGCCTGCATCTACTCACAACTCACCCGCGACATCGCCACCGGCCGTGCCCACACCGGTCGTAACACCACCCAAAGCGCCAAAGGCTAGCAAGCCGTCTCGGCCCAAGGCCAAATCGTCTTTGGTGCCATCCTCGGAATCGTCTCCTCTATCGCCACCAGACGTGTTTTTCCAAAAAGACAGCCGCTGCCCCGTACGTGTTTTCAACCAAGTCGTTGTCCCGCTCTATCAAGTGCTGTCAGGGATGTGAGCTCACTGTCGTGTGTTGACTCTTGTCTGCGGTGTCAGCAGACGGTGCGCATTGGTCCTAAGGATCAAGGCGCTACACAGCGCCATTTTTGCGAGCTCTGGCAGCAGAAAGAGGCGGCTCATCTCTGCTACGACGCCGCTCGCGAGGCCTTGCATGCCGAGCAGGTAAGCGAGCCTGGAGGCAGATTGGGCGTTGTGCGCGCGCTTTGGATGACGCAAATTTGATGCATGCTCGCAGCGCACGGAGCGTTTGCAGATGGTCCGAGCCCAGGCACGGGTGGTAGAGCATTTGCTGGCTACGTTTTATCGCGACCATCAGCGTTTGCAAACGACGTTTGATGCCTTGCGTGCGGTAGGTATTTTTTATTCTGATGGCAGCCAGAGTGCAGGTGGGCAACGACCATTGCAATTTGGCCGTAGGTTTAATGCGGGGGCGGGGGCGGTGCTATTAGGGACTGATTTCGGAGCGGGATGCGGCGTGCAGTCCGTACATTCAGTACAAGGTGAGTGAGTGCATGGCCCATCCTGTAGTCTCCTGTTGCTGGTCAAGAGGCTCAGCCACCAATACGGTCGTTCGCTTGCGTATGTGTGTGTGTGTGTGTGTGTGTGTGTGTGTGTGTGTGTGTGTGTGTGTGTGTGTGTAGCGTTCGACGGCGCGCGAGCCCCACTCGATCGACACGAGCTCGTCACTGTACGCGTTGCAGCTGGCTTATCAACGGGTAGGTGGATGATTTTTTAAAAGCCACGAGGCCGTCTGTGTTTTGGGCCCGGGGCTTCTTTCTCTGATGCAGTTGTGGGTCGATGTCATGGGGTAGGATTTGGATGTACTGCAACAGCACCAGCGACATGAGCGTGTGGGATTGCGCGCACAGCAACAATTGGCCTGGGAGGAGGTGAGTCAGTCCTGGTCCGGTTGCTGAGTCGGCCAGTGGCGTGGCGTGGCATGGCGATCTGATTTGCGGCTCTTGGGTGGTCATGGGTGATGTAGGCGGAAGAGCACTTGGTGCCTTTGATTGAGTTGCCGTTGCTGAGCCTCTTGTCGGCATGAGCACGCTCCTTGTGTGTGCAAGGCGTGGTGTTCCACGCTAGACTTTGTTGATGTCTCTTTTCTCGTTGCTTTTTGTCCGGTGGAGGGGGGTTTCCATTTCTCGCGCTCTCCGCCATTCATTTCGCGCGGACGCAGTTTGACTGTGTTGTTGTGCGGTGTTTTGCGCGCTGTTATTCCTGTGCATGTAAGATGGGTGTTGGTTGTGAGATCCGTCAAGGTGTGTTGCTTGCTTGACAGACGGGTGCGTGGCTTGACAGACGGGCGCGTGACTCTCAAGACCACGCGCAGCGTGGGGATGCGTCTCTCGTGTCGATTGGCGTGCCTCTTGCGATCGGGTCTAGTTTCGGTTGGTGAGCATGTGTTTGAGCCATTGCCGGTTCTTCTCGCCCCGCTCGCCCCACATTAAATATGCTACAAACGTGACCAAATGACCCAGCCAGTCAAGCACGTGAGCACAAGCGAAGCGAAAAGGGGATTCCTGCGCCGAATGCAGCAGCTCCAGCTCAACAGAGAAACCAAAACAAGACCCCAAGAAGAAGACGCCACCCACCCAACCAACCAACCAACCTACCAATGCTCGCATTCACGGTGGCCGAGCAGAGCAACAAAGCCCCGACAACCCGCATCCGCCGTGCTCGCGCCACCTCGGGCGCCTCACCCCCCAGCATCTCGTTGGAGGAGGCAGAAAAGCTTTTGATAAACGAGGGGGATGTTGAGATAGATGAGAGATGAGAGAGAGAGAGAGAGAGAGAGATTAAAAAGAGAGAGATTCAAGAGAGAGATTCAAGAGATTCAAGAGAGAGAGATTCAAGAGAGAGATTCAAGAGACTCAAGCAGAAAAAAAAAACGTTAAGAAAGAGGGGTAGTTTAAAATCAATGAGAGAGAGAAGTTAAAACCCACCCCTCTAATTTGTAAAGTGAGCCGGACATCAAGCACACGTTCAGGACGTGGTGCGTGTGTGCGTTTTCGAGGACCTGGAGGGAAGACGGCGCCTCGATTCGGACGGCGCCTTGATTCGGACGGCGATTGTGGCGGAGATACTTTGGGTTGCCGTGGTTGGGTTTGTATCTCTCTCTCTCTTTCTCTCTTTATATCCTTTTTTTTCAAGTCCCTTGGTGGGGTGGCCCACCGCCTCCAAAAAGCAACAGCAGCAACAACAACTCAGCGTCGTCGTCGTCAGTGTCGTCACCTGTTGGTCTGAGGCAACGGCTGTGCGCAGACCCTTGGTGGTCGCGCCTCCTTTTCAAACTTGGCGTTGGTAGCTCAGCCCTCTTGCTGACTTACTGAAACAATTTCATCTTTGGCACCTCGCGACCAGTACGACGGCGGCTGCGACCACGTCACCGGCGCCACGGCGCTCAAACCTCATGAGCGATAGCGCCGGCCCTCCCGACTTGGAACGGGCATCTTCCATTGTGGTGCCCCGGCATTATCTGCCTCAGTCAGTCTCCGATCCGCCCCTTGATGACAGCTACCATCTCTGGGAGGAAGACGAGCTGCTCCTCGAGTCTGGCGGTGAGCGTCCTCTGCTCGTGCAGCCGCGTCGCACCTCGCTCCCGGCAGGGTTTGATACCGAGCTGGCCGAGGGCTCGGCTGGGCATGGCCATCGCGTCGGCTTGCACGAGGTTCTGACCTGCACAGATAGCCCCTACCGTGTCGACCGCAACGCCTTGCCCCATTCCTTAACTCTCCAGCGCGGACCCTCGGCGCTGACCTCCATCCTTGCACCCTTGACCCTGCCCCTCTACTGCTTGGGCCTCGCCACTCCCATTCGCGAATGGGAGATTAAATACGATGCCGAATACGGCCAGCTTGTGCTCCTCCGCCACAACCGCAATCTCCTCTGCACCACCAGTGAAGACTTTGGCTCCATCGACAACATTCTCTTTGACACAAACACCAACGAGCTCGTCGCCGTTTTTGCTGACGGCTCACAAGTCGCCATAGCCAGCTCTAGCCTTCCCATTTGCACCGCCCACCATGCCGCCTCTCGCGCGGCCTTTGCCGATGATGTACAAATGCTCATTGCTCAAAACTCCATGTAAAAATAAAAAATTATACGACTCCCCGTGTGTCTGTTCTAGCCAACAATCCGCCATGCCAACGGCATTTCAGAGTCCTCTTCGCTCCCAACATGCGTCTTCTGCTGCTGCAGCCTGCTCTTGGGTCGCCTTCCATAGCGTCTTGGTCAGTTACACGCATGTACACCAGCGTGCCATCCCACGCTCTTCTTTCTGCACCTCTGCTGCGCAGAGGCCCCCCGGCCTGTTTCCCCCTCTCTCACTGCCCGCGCACCATACCGAGCGCGCACGACATGAAATTGAACGCCGCTTTATTCTCTTGATCAAGTTTCAGTTTCTTCAGAGCAGATGAACACATGCACACAGCAACAGCAACTCCGACAGCAAGACCCGTCTCGTCACACCCCTGTCAACTCCTTTGGCACTTCGACAAAAGAGAGCTGCGCTGCCAGTCACAAAAGCCCGTACATGCGGGGCAAACATCCTCCAGCCTGCACCTCGCGCTGGCACCGATGCTCAAACACGCCTCATGCCACTGGACATGGGTGCCAAGTCTCTCTCTCTCTCTCTCTCTCTCTCTCTCTCTCTCTCTCTCTCTTCTTGCTTTTACGTTACCCGCGGCGATTGGTCCCACTGGACTTGCAGCTTTGTCCATTTGGACCACAGGATCCGCATCACGTCAGTTGCGCCCACATCAGTCGGGCTTTCAGCCTTGGCTTGGCCGCGCACAAAGCGCACCTGTGGCACAGCACACGATTATTCAGCAGACCAAGCAGTAAACAGGGGCCGTGCAGCAAGTCAAACCAAACATACCACCGAGCCTGGTTGGGCAATGCCGTTGTAGTGATAGACGACAAACTGCTCCGGGGTGCCGTTTTCGCCTTCAGCTTTATAAAAGTGGGCCAAAAACTGAGGCTTGAGCACGATGCCCAGTCCATCCCTGTCAAGGGCTAATATGTGCGCCGAGATCCCGGGTACAACAGCAACGGTGTTGGTCAGCCATCATCGCTTGGGTGCGCGCTCAGCAGAAGACAAGGGGGAGGTGGCGTCTGAAACAAGACATGGTGCGGACGATTTGGCGGGGCGGCGGTCGTACCTGACACAAGCCGCGTGCGCGCTTCGTTGTCCTCCATCAACAATTGAAGCTCATCAAGCAAAGCTGGTAGTTGCTCCGGCTACGGGGGAAGTTGATTGAGTCCAAGGGTAGCCCCATGAGCAAGTGGCGACACCGCTCAAGACCCACGCGACCAATTAGTCAGCGTACCATGAGAAAGCCATTGGCGTTGGCATCATGCCGATCAAAAACAGTGCTTGCGTGTTGCCGCGGTGAGTCTTGCACAACGAGGCGCGAGTCCAAGCTGCAACCAAGCCAACAGCCAGGGCAGACAGTCAGGCGACCAAGAGGGAGCCAATCTTGAGCAAGCAAACGCGCAAGCGTTCCCGAGGTCGATCGCCTGGGCAAACCTGAAAAGCAAGGTAAAGTGTGTTTCAGATCCAAGTACCCAGATGGGAAACTCGGGATTCTTGAAGTAGGAGCCACAGGTACAGTAGCTACGGACACACGTTTGCATGCTTGGGTAAGCCTGGGATACGCTCTTCGAAATCCCCTATGCATTTTACAAAACTCGCTGTCGTTTACCGTAGTGACTCGAGCAAGGTTAGATAGCCAATGGTACTGCGGCGAGGAAGGCCACGCAAGGCTGCAATCACATGCCGAGAACAAAAGCAAGCACAGTGTCAGGGGCAAGCAGGACGTGGCAAGCCAAGGAGTAGATGGGCGTCGAGGAGGAATGTGTGGGACCAGCGCAGTACGTGAGCTTACCGAGACCACCCATGTCATTGTCGCCATCCCACACGTTGGGCACGGCCGTTCCGGTGAGGGCTAGGTTGAGCAGAGCTTGGCTAACGAATGGAAAGTGGAAAAAGAGGTGAGTTAAGGAAAGAAAAGGAAAGAAGAGAAGACCCCAAGATTGGGTCATGACCAAGATGTGAGTTGAGGCGAGGTCAAGGGGTGGATGGGGCGAGCAGAGCGCGGGGGATGCATTAACAAACTTGCAGTGCCCAAAGGGGGCAGAAATGAGTGAATCTTGCTCCACACCCATGTCCTCAGCCAGACGCTCCGTGCCGCGAGTCAGAACCAAAGAGTAGACGAGTGCCACGACGGCAAAAGGGTGCTGCATGGGGCGTGGGGCGTAGTTGGACAAGTGAAGCAAGACGCAGTGTCAAGGGCAAGTGCAGCTGACTTGATGGAGTCGGCAAAGCTCAGCAACCACCAGGCTTTTGACGGAAAGACACAGGCATCTCTTTCAAACCTGGAGGCTGGCCTGTAGACTGAGGAGATGGGGTTCGATCATGTCTTGGTCATGGAGGACAGCAATCTGGGCATGCTGGTGAAAGTCATCCAGAGTCTGGTCTCCCGCGTCGAGTGGCGCGGTGACCACGGTGACACCTGCCGCAGGCCAAACCACTGGCGCGTCTTTGGCGGGCGAGGAAGGGGCCATGGCTGCTTGCAGAAGCATGGTCGTCAGAGCTGAGACAAGGGCTCCATACTGATCCTATAGGCCCAGGTATGAGCACGGGTGGTGCCACAACATATGGTGGGAGCTTGGCGGGGGTGGCATGTGAGCTGTGGGCTTTCGGACCTTTGGGGTGCGCCAGCCACCGGGAACCGTGGCTTTGCCTTCGGGGTAGATGAGGTGCTTGAGCAGAAAGGCTTGTACTGGGGCAATGACGCCGCAGGGTCCACCAGCGTGCTGTACGAGTGCCGAAGGCTCGGCGTCGTGGAATTCAAAGCCTGCCGACCCCCGAGCCCAGTGCATGTGAGCAAAGATAAATAAATCAACAAGTCGTGTCTTGTGTACCAAAGCGGCCCGCTGCAGCGCTGGACATGCCTTGCAACCATCGGCGCACAATCTCGGCATCTTGGCTCGCGGTGCCCCAAATCAAGTCGGCCACCGAGCCCAACCTAGCCGCCATGCACACGGGTCAGTGTCACGCGGAGCAGCTCGCGCCACTGGCCCCAAAAAGTCACCAAAAACGTGCAACGTACAGCTCTGGAGCCGCCATTTCACAGGCCAACGGGTCGGTCCAGATGGTCTTGCGTCGTCGTGCTTGGACCCACCCAGCTTCGCGCGTTTGGATCCCTTGCCGCTATCAATCTCCTCCTCGTCCGTCGGTCGGTCGGTCGGTCGGTCGGTCGGTCGGTCGTCGGTCGTCACGTTCGAGTTGCTTGTAACAAATGCTTGTGGTTGTTCACTAAGCAAGAAACTCAAAAGCAGACAACGTAAGTATTAAAGTGGGTATTTTACTTCAAAAACATTGTAATGTTATAAAGCTGTATCCTCACACGACTGAATGAAAATCTGCAAATACGTACATAAGAGCGACATAAACCCTTTCACACAGCCCCTGGGCTCCGGTGATATTTTATCTGACAATTCCAAGTCGTGATGTCAGACGAGAATGTCATGGTCCAAGTCTCTTGGGAGACTATGCGTCTTGAGGACTGCAGAGCAACAGTTTCCGCCTTTCTGTTCGAGATTTGAACCCCCAGTGCATATCGGCTAATATTAGCATCTGCACCGTCTTTTTTGACCCCCTTCTGCGTTTGTAACGGTGACCGCTCATCGCATTGAAGCATGTTCACGCTCCCGCAACGTGTAGCAATGCCCTCCCTACCCAAGCGCCAACTCATCACCACACGAAAAAGGGAATATGGGGGAAGCGGTCCCCGGTCTGTGTGGCAGCCGGGTCGGCGGTGCCCTGTGCCGAGATGGGAGACAAGACAGCCTTCCTTCCGATCACGGCTCGTTGCAAACCAGCTTGCCGTCTCTGAGCAAAGTAGTTTACGGCCCAACCAACTCAAACTCAAACTCAAAGTCCCCCCCCCCCAGTCCAACTCAACCCGCACACGCCCACTTTAGAAAGGCAATGGAGCTCTTACTTTGAGCCCTGACCAAAGCAACGTTTTCTTTGTCTTCCTGCTTCATAACCACACATACGTCATGGTTTAATACACACTTTCCCTTTAATTTCCCATACTTACACATCACCCCTTTCGTTCTCTCTCTCTCTCTCTCTCTCTCTCGCTGACTGTGTGTGTTCAAGTGACGACGTGGCCATTTTTTGAACTTCAAAGGGAAACAGGTACAGACCTTGCTCTCTCACTCTCGATGTGTGTGTGTGTGTGTCTCTCTCTCTCTCTCACACACAGACACACACACTGTTCTTTCTTGG